TGGTCCGGGGAAGGGGGGGAGGGCGGGGGGGCATCGGGTGGCTGGCTCCCAGGACCCCCTTTAAGGGGTCTGGGGCCGGGAGTGGGGCAATAGAGTTTCCCTGGTGTTGGCCAGAGTGGCCACCAGGGAAAGCTGGGGAGGGCTAGCCTCCCACTAGTTCGAACTAGGCTTAGTCCTCGTAGAATGAGGTTTACCTAGTTCGAACTAAGTGCTCCGCTAGTTCGAATTAAGTTCTCACTAGCGGAGCGCTAGTGTAGCGCCTATCAAAGTTAATTCGAACTAACATCCGTTAGTTCGAATTAACTTTGTAGTGTAGACATACCCTCACACATGTTTCAAGGTAAAATCTCAACACAACCTTAACTATGGATTCACTATTGAGCCCTCCATAGTACCAGTATGTAAGAAATAAGATTGAATGGGTAACTGAACACTTGATGGGCAAATTTTACTCTCATTACACCTGGGCAATCCCAATGGTGTCTAGGGTAGAACTGAGGTAAATGAGAGTGGTATTTGGCCGTTGAGGGTCAACTCTCTGATATGCAAAGAACAGATTTTATTACAATCAACAGAAGCCCTGACAACAGGGCACAATTTTGGCCAAAGTCTCTTTGTAACAAAAACAGTTTCACATTCAGTAGAATAACCAGCTCCTGTGGGTAGTTACTGTGGCTAGACTAGTTGATATATTAGTGTGTTTTTACCTCTTTGGTCAAGTTGTACACCAGGCTGTACATCAGCGGAGTACAATCAATTCTCAGAGTGTAGTTACCTGAAATACAAGGTCAGTGTTTAGAATAGAAAACCAAGTATGCCCTGTGTCTTTGTGGTGGGAGGAGGTACGTCTGTAATAAGAGGAGACATCAAGGCTAGGTCAACACTACACCCATCTGTCGGCAGAGGGATGTAAATAAAGCACATCAAAAGTGCAAATGAAGCGGGGATTTAAATATCCTGTGCTTCATTTGCATAATCACATTCTGGCGCTGTTTCGAACAAGCGCCATTTTGAAACTGGAACCGCAGTTTAGACGCGGTTCTGCCAACAGCGCGGTGATTTTTTGACAGATCCTGTACTCCTCATCCCCGCTTCATTTGCACTTTTGATGTGCTTTATTTACATCCCTCTGCCAACAGAGGATTATAGCGTAAACCTAGCCCAAGAAGGAAAAACAGGATCTCCAAAGTAGAGAGGGTTACCAACTGTAGGCTGCTCAGTGCATTCACATTGGGCTTAGGATTTGGGCTGAATCATGCTCCAACTAGCACAACAGCACAGGATCCTGCCTTGTGTCCCTGTGCAAGCTACACGTCACTGCTAGCCGCACAGGAGAGGATACTGACACTTCAGGGAGGGGTCAGGTCCCTGGTTCTAACCCCCATTTCCCCTTCCTCACATCACGTAACAGGTAGCATAGTTATATGGCCAACATAGCGTGCACGTCTCTGAAGCAGGAAAGCAAGTGTATTTCTGGGTTTATCATCTCCCTCCCACACTGCGCTCCTGGGTGAACATAACAGTGCTCTTTTCTCAGGGCTCATGGCAAAGCCAGCACTGAGCTTCAAGTGAAGCTGTTTCAATTTCATCTATGTCCCACCTGCCACTGCCATAGAAACACAAGTATACACCTTCGACTGCAGAATCTGCATTGATATACGCCACTCCACGGGCTTGTAATAGTTTGGCATTTTCCTGCAATGGAAAGGAAAAAAAACCCCAAATTGATTAACTTTTCCCACAAAATAACATTGTCAACTTTAACTTTAACCTGCAGTTTTCTAAATTATCACAATCCAGTCCACCTGGTTCACATGTCAGTCTTGTCTCCCAAAACAAATGGACTGACTGATACTTGAATCAGCTTCTTTCGGAGCAAGGTGAATTGCATACATGGGTTTTTGGACAAGTATTTAAAGGTGGCACTTGGGACCCATCCCAACCAAACACCGGGTTTTATTTAGTTAAACAGAGCAGGTTATCTAAACCACTACAGGTGGCCCCATCATGCCTTCTTTACTGTTAGGAACATATGAATGGACGTACTCAAATGGCCTCATTCCACACTTCACCATCAACACTGGCTAGTAACAATTAACTTAGGGGAAAGTGCAAGCCTCGTAATCCCAATAGTCAGAGGTTTGCTTATGACATACATGTTGGTAGTATTTATGTGCCTTCCAAAAATCTTGCTTCTTTGATATTTACTATTACAGCTCTGTAGCAGAATCTGTTAAACTTCTGGCCTCAGCAGTTTCATGCTGCAATGAGTTCCATAGGATAACTGTGTGCCATCTACTGTATATTTGAAATAAATTGTTTGTGAGTGACTGAGACAGTCTGTCTGTTCAAGAACTCCTCTGAAATGGTAAGAGCTAGTATCACCAACTTCCTCTTTCATAACTTAAAGGAAGATAAGGATTTGGTCATATAGGAGGAGGCTGAAGGCCCCCCATAAATATGGGGATGCATAAAACCATACAGAAAAAGAGATAGAACCATTAGGCAGGTGAAAGGGTCTGGCTGGGAGTGCAAGCCCCCCATGTAGGACTGCCCCAGCCCTGTGCCTCCCGCCTCACTGACACCCTTTAGGGCAGGCTATGGGAGAGGAAGATTCCCACCCCTATTCATATGGGAATATTGCTAGCTGTTCCCCTTTGTAAGGGAGCAAGGGAAAAGTGCACAATTTGCTCAATTCCTCATTCTGGCTTGTCCTCACTCCCTTTTTTGAGTTAAGGGCCCAGGCAATGCTGGGTAAATGTTCTAGCATGAAAATAAGTCATTCTATTAGTTTTGAATTTCCCACCTTTCATTTGCATTGAGTACAGCAGACTTCCGATAATCCGGCACCTTTTGGACCTAGGTGGTGCTGGATTATCAGATTTGCCGGAGAATCGGGAGGGCAGGGACAGCTGCACGGCTTAACAGCTGGCCAGGACACAATCTCCCTCCCTCTCCCCTCCCCTTTCCTCTTCTGGTCTCCTCTGTGCTGTAACCTGATCCTCCTCCCTCTCCCTTCCCCTTTCCCCTTCACTGAAGCAAAACGCTCTTCTCCATACTGTAACAAGATACTCCATACCGTAACACGATATGCTCCATCTGGTTACAGCCAGCATGAGTGCTGAGTGGCAGGCTTTTTAATTAGCTGGTCAGGAGCGCTTGGCATTTTGATGCCGGAGTATCTGGAGTGCCGAACAGTTGGATGATGCCGGACTATCCGAGTTTTACTGTAGCTCCTTGTTCTCATGTTATGAGACAGGGAGAACAGAAGTTCCCAATCTCCCTTTTCTAGCTCATTCATTATTTATAATTACCATATCATCCAAGAGAGAATAAGAAGATTTTGCAGTAAGGTAAACTGTGGATGATAAAACTGCAAGCCAGTCATGCTGAAAAGGAATCTCCATGCAAGATTTATAGGCCTTTGGAATGATCTCAGTTAGAACAGACTCTAGTTTGACCTGGTGGATGCTTTTAAAGTCTATGAATTGGTAATTTCCTAGAAGTGGTTGTACAGAGAAATGATGCCCTCAATTCTGAATATTATTAATGCAGATGGATTTATGACACAGGGTATTTCCTCTCTCAGTACAGATCAAGTACATGGGGCAGAAGTCCCTCTTATACGCAACCATCAAAACCACAGACCTGATTCTGACAATGCTTACAGCAGTGTAAATCTCAAGCTGCTCTATGGAAATCAATGGAATTAAACTTATTTAAAAGCTCAGTGTCTCCATCTGGCAGGGTCACTACATACAAGTATAGGCGGGTACAGTAAAACTCCATTAGTCAGGCATCCAATGCTCCGGGACTCATGATGGTCCGGCACCATCAGGAACCCGGAAGTGCTGGGGCAGCCAGACAGGCTTCCCCCATTCAGCTGCTGCTGAAACTGACCAGAAGCTGAATCAGGGAAGCTGGGAGCAGAGCAGCTGGGGTGCTGCCGGGTTGGTCTCGTAGCGCTGCCCTTCGGGGCTGCGGGACCAACCCGGCAGCACCCCGGCAGCTCCCCAGCTGCTCTATTGCAGGCATCCCCGATTCAGCTGCTGCTGAAATTGACCAGCAGCGGCTGAATCAGGGACGCCTGGGGTAGAGCCGGACTATCATAAGGGGGGGGCTATGAGGTATCTGGAGTGGCATCCCCTCTCACCCCACTCCAGACCCCTCATAGCCCTCCCTTCTGATAGTCCGGCATATCTGATAATCTGGCACCCCCTGGGTCCTAAAGGTGCCGGATTATCGGAAGTTTACCATATATTCTCAGACACACTTTGTTTTGAGATTTAGTATTGTTACTTTGGTTGTACAATAAGTAGCACATGTGGTCTCTTCAGATAAAATTCACACGGAGGTTGCTCATTGCTAAAGCCCAGAATAACATAATGTTGTTCGCAATACAACGTTGGATACTTTCTCATGTGTTTGTGTGTCTGAACATGCTTCACTGGAGCAGGTTCTAAAACGTGAGGGAAACTGTGCAGAACTCTCTTAGATCACTTAGGCCTGGTCTACACTCGACCTGGAGGGTTGGTTTAAAGTATGCAACTCCAGCTATGTAAATAATGTAGCTGGAGTTGGCGTACCTTAAGCCAAACTAGGTGCCATCTTCACAGTGGAACGCTGATGGGAGCAAATACTTCTATTGGCTTCCCTTATTCCTCACGGCTGCAAGGAGTACCGGTGCTGACTAGAGCCACCCTCAGCATTTGATTTAGCAAATCTTAACTAGACCCACTAAATCAAATGTGAGAGGACAGATCTCTGGGGCTGCAAGCATAGGTGTGGCCATATTCTTGATTTACCTCAGCCCATTCTGTAGATCCGAGCAAGCCAAATTCCTCTGCATCCCAGCTCGCAAATATCATTGTTCTTCTGGGTCTCCATCCTACAATGATTCAAGATGTAAAGCACCAGGAGAATTACTCTAGAGAAATATACCGTGACTGTGTATCAAACTGAAAATAAATTTTACTGTGAATACCACCACTTTGGCCTCAGCTGCAAGAGTGATGTATGGTGCAAAAGGTGCAATTGGGGAATCTACCCCGAAATGCTTTTGTAACTTTACTCATCGTTTGCAATACTATGCCTGATGCAGATTTTTGTCTCTGCTGAATGCCTGAGGAGATTGACATTTTCCTGAATTCAACATTTTGGCAGATAACTAGTGAAAATATTTTGCAAAAATGTTTTTTTTAAATTTTTTTACAACCAACTCCACTCAATACAACTATTAAATTACCGCTGTCTTTAATTTAAATGTGCATCCTAGCACTTCTAATGCCAAAAGTGCTTTCCCTGACCCTCCTCCCGAACACTAACTCTCAAATACTGAGGAATCCCCTCGGTGATTTTGATAGATCCATTTCTAAACAAAGATATTTCACTCTAAAAAGCTTTGCATGTGACTAGAAGCCATGGTAAACTGGAGCAGAGTATATTGCAATGTGTTTTTTTCCTGTATCTACTTTATCCAAGCTCTCCTTCATGCCACTACTATTACTCCCCTTCCTGTTTGGCTTCACTAAGCATTGTTTCATAATATGTTTGGTAACTAGGCAGTGAAAGAAACAAAATTAACCTCAAACAGATTTTAAATGCTGTGGTTGGACAAAGAAAGCTACCATAGCACAGTGTCCGGGTTATGTCAGGACCTCTGTTTCCAGGACTTCAAACTCAATAAAAAGAGACTCCATGTGTTCTGGAGGTTGACTTTCAATAGTGATGATGTTCCTCGCTACACTTCAATGTAATTAGGAAATATGTATTTTTAAATTTGTTCTCCCATTGATTTTCCACAGTGTATCCCTGTATGTATTATGAGTCCCATTCACACCAGCTTAATGCTAACGTACATATAACAGATTTGGGAGTTATAAATGTTGCCTTCTCAGATGCTTCCTCACTCTGTTATGCAGGGGTGGGCAAAAGAACCTCCACGGGCTGGATTTGGCCCACGAAGCGCGTTGATCTGGCCTGCAGATATTCTGCCACTCCCCCGCCCCCAGGCCAATCAGGACCTAGGGATGGGGGCAAACGCAGCATTTAGAGTCAATCCTGGTGGTTGACTCTAAGGGCTATGCACCAAAGGACAGAAAGCAAGAGACTTCACACTCCTTCCACCCCCAGGCCAATCAGGTATGGGGGTGGTGGGAAGCACACAAAGTCTCCTTAAGTCCTGCAAGGGGCTCCGCACTTATACTCAACTGCCAGCTTCTGCTCAGCTGGCAGGTGATTCTAAGCACAGCACTTCCTTGCAGGGTGGGGGTAGAATTTGCATGCTCCCCCTGACTTCTAGGCCCTGACTGACCTGATGGCAGGAGGGGAGCACACAAAGTCTCCTCACACTGCCAGGGGCATAGGCACCTCGAGGGAACCGTCCACTGTTGAGAACAGCTAGCAATTTTCTCTGAGGAGGGTGGGGGCAAATACTTCACATGCTCCCCCACCCACAGACCAATCAGAAGTGTCCCAGCCCTGCCCCTTATGCCTGAGGCCCCTCTCCTTCTAGGGTTGCCCCCGGTCAAAAATTATTGCCCATCCCTGATGTTATGGCATAATTACATAGATTTTTTTAAGGCCATAAGATGATCCAGTCAGACCTCTTGTTATCAAAGACCACAGAATTTTAAGCCGTTACCCCACTAGTCATATTACAACAACATTCAACATATGATTCTATGATAAGGGGATGGTTGGATGAAATAACATGATCTTGGTAACTAACTGACCATTCATTATCAGTTGGAAATAGGTCAATGGAGGGATGATAGGAGTTGCTATAGGGAACTTTCTGGGTGTCTGGCTGGTGAGTCTTGCCCACATGCTCAGGGTTTAGCTGATCGCCATATTTGGGGTCAGGAAGGAATTTTCCTCTAGGGTAGATTGGCAGAGGCCCTGGAGGGTTTTCGCCTTCCTCTGTAACATTGGGCACAGATCACAGCTGAAGGACTCTCTGCATGTTGGGGCCTTCAAAGTATTTGAAGGCTTCAATATCTGAGACATAGGTGAGAGGATTATTCTAAGAGGGGTGGCCGAGATTCTGTGGCCTGCACTGTGCAGGGGGTCAGACTAGATGATCATAATGGTCCCTTCTGACCTTAAAGTCTATGAGTCTATGAGTCTATGACCACTACTCTTTGAGGCCAATCCACCGGCAGTCGATTTAGAGGGTCTACTGAAGTCCTGCAAAATCAACCACAGTTCGCTTTCTGGTTGACCATGCTACTCTACCCTGGATGACAAAATAAGAGAAGTCAACGGATTTTCTTACATCAATCTCCGACCCCTACTCCCTCCCCCCGCCCCGCCACACACACAGTGTAGACCCCATGGTAACTCAATGTTGACTTCAGCTATGTTATTAACATAGCTGTAGTTGTGTACCTTGAGTCAACTTTTTGTAACAGTAGCCTTACTTCCGCATCTTCCACACATTCCCATTTTTTTCCCCAGATAAAACCTCCCACACCCCTCACAACCTTGGGGACCAAGGATGCCATAACATCAGAAATTTGATTAATTAATTAATTAAGATAACTGATTAACCGTTGCAAAGCAGTGTAAAGACAAAAGTTGCTGTATAGGAGTTCAGTCATTTCTATAATTAGATACTTTAATTCCTTGCCAAAGTAAATTTGCCATACTGTGAACAACAGAGGCACACAGGCCAAGATCTACAAAGGAACCTAGGTACTGCAACATAGACCATGTCTTCTGATTCAGACTCCTGCACACAATTTAGGTAGCTGAATGAGTAACTACTGTGGTTTGTGAATCGTCCTGAGGCTCAGGAAGGAGCTAGGAACCTGGGCACCTAAAGTGAAGCTACAGGGTGCATGCTCATAAGCAAAATCATAGGACCTGAGAGAATATAGGCACCTATAGGATTAAGTGGAAGCTGATGGCCAGTTTTGTGGATTGCAATGGTGCCTAAAAATGGAATTTAGGATACCTTTGGACACCATAAGTGTCTCTGAAACATCTATAATAGATAACTGAAGAGTAGACTGCTCATTCCAAATATCAAGGACTAAGGCCTTGAATTACCAGAGATCTTAAGCCCGTACTTAACTATAAGGACATGCTCAAGTCACACTAGGGTTGCCAGGTGTTCAGTATTGACCCGGACAGTCCGGTATTTTCACCTTCTGTCTGGTAAAAAAAAAAAAAAAAAATTCAGAAAATACTGGACACCTGAAATGCCCGGTATTTTCTGTGTTTTTCCCCTGCCAGGAGGCGAAAATACCAGATACCTGGCAACCCTAAGACACACTCGACAACTAGGCCCAGCCCCCGCCCCCTGGACCGCCTGCTTACCTGGGGGGGAGGGGAGAGGGAGGGGGCTTGATCAAGAAAACAAGATGGCTGCCAGCAAAAAGACCTGAAGTAAGGGGAAGCAATGCCTTCCCTGGGTCTTAGTGCTCAACCTCTCCCCTCTCGCACTTAAAGGGGCCATGCTTTTTTTTTTTTGCATTTTTTTTCGGCTCAACAACTTTGGTCTCCCCCCCCCTTTTTTTTTCTTTTTCCCCAGTGGTTTTTTTTGGGGGGCGGGGATGTTCAATATTTTTGGTTAAACCATCTGGCAACCCTAAGTCTCACTGAAGAAAATAAATGCAACAGAGAAGAAATTTGACTCTTAGTTTAAAATAAATCAGTAAATGGCTCTGTTTGCTTTATTCTTTAGGCACATACCTTCCTTCTTCAATTTCCCATAACTTCGTACAATCTCGTGAACCACAGCTGCTCCACTCTGTGGATCAATTCCACCAAAAACCCAAGAGTCACGGTGGCCTCCCAGGATGATGAATCTGTCTGGAGATATTAAGTTTGGGGGTCCATTTAAACGATTTATTTCCTGCAGTGATAGCATCAATGGAGAGTAGCTATGAATTCTATGTAGGTTTGCTGACAACCAATACACCACTTTAACAGCTTACTTCCTCTGTGGCAGAATGGGAAGAGTCACTGTAAATCTCTATAGAAAAAAAATCAGGAAAGTTTATTGCTAAACTGCAGGTAGTTTGTCATTTATTTATATTAGCACCTGTAGAAGTTTTAAACTTAGTAGCACTGTAATCCTTCAGGATGTTTATAAGACACACTATAACAATAATTAGTTCCAACTGAAGTCTAAGTTTTTAAAGTTGATGGAATTATAAAACCTTTTCTGACATGCATCATTTTCCAATATATTCATCATTCAGGCTTTTGATTGTTCTGCTTCTTTCGCTGCTGGGATGGACACTGGGAAAAGATGTAGAATCCTGGCAACTCCTCTGGCTGCCTTACTGCTCCCAACCCCAGCCCCCAAACCTCAGCCCTGTACACAGAGACACGGCAGCTAATGGAGGCGGTGGGGATGGTGGGCAGGGAGTCTTTCCAGTACACTGTACTGTCTGAAAATAACTTGCCAGTATGGCGTGATGGGCTGTAGTGGTCCACTAGCACCACAGCCTGGTGTTCATATTTCTATATCATAAATGTTCTTCACAAGTTTTAAAATCACTGAAGTATATTTTCTTGCACTAGGTGATAGGTACATTACAATGATTAACCGAGTCACAACGGAAGATGTAGCTGACATGATATGGCATCCAAAATAATAAAATCCTGCTGTCTTGCTTGCAATGTTCCCTTTAATCATTTTCATCCATGTGTGTCTTTTATGTGCACCGAGGCATTTGCAAATGTGCACCACCAGCAAAAGCATAAAACTGACCTGTGGGTGCTCTGCTAATCAGTTGGGTGGCATTTGCATCTCTCCTGAGCAGACACACAAGCACCCAGCTTACAGGGAACACTGCTTGCTTGATGTTGTTATAATTATGATTCAGCCCAAAAGTGGCTATATGTGATTGCAGATGTAGTGATCTTACTTCCCTATAAATATCTGTAAAGTAGTTTAGGGGCTTTCAGATCATGCTGGATAAAAGATGCCATAATACAATGCACATAAAACATTATGAGGTTAAGTGATTTCATTGACAAGAACATGAATGTCTTTTCAAACTCAGAAAGATCTAAGCTTTCATTTATTATTTAATTCCCACAACTCTCCCATTTAAAAAAATCCATCAGAGAATGTACTTGCAATATTACTTGCCTGGATGCAAGTGTTTATGGCTAGATTATGTTCCACTTGGAAAATCAGTTTTATAATGAAAGTGCTGACGTAACTTAGAACTGTGCGAGTGCTGCTGTAGGAAATCCCCAATGTGTATGAATAGACATGCTCAGCAAGTAGAATACAAAGAAAACCCCTTTTCTCATCCTCCCTTTGCAATTACAATGCTTAATTAGGTGTATCTGCAGTTCACTGCACCCACAGACAATTTATAAGACAAACGGCTTTACCTGGTTCTGTTGCTCCTCTGATGGTTCCAATCACATTGTAAATTCTTGTCACTTTATTGTTACTGTGAACATGCATTTTCACCTTCCTAATGCATTGGAAAGCAAATTGAAAGAGAGACCTCATCAGATTACTTAATAAAATATTATATGCTTAAAAATGTGTAAAATGAAAAATACATTGTTTATAGCGAGAGATTAGGGAATGAATTTTGTTCTCAGTTAAACAAACCTGGTAAGAATCCAGTGATGTTGCTCTGGATTTATAGTGTTAATATTTGGGACACAATTTGGCACTAGAAAGTTACGTAATCCCATTGTGTGTGTCATATTGGTAAGGTTATTTTTACTGGTTGGTGCTATGATTTATACTGGTAACAAACTAAAAGCTCTGAACTTAAAAGAATGCTCTGAAAGCAGCTGTTTTTAATGTTGGGAAGGAGAAAGGAAAAATAATGCATTTTATAAATATTTTTACTAAATATAGGATTACTCTCTCACTTAGCCAGTGTAATTCCATGGTAAATTTATTGTAGTTAATGAAATCTCAAGGACAGGAGTCAATGGAATATCAGGCCCCAAAACAACAGGAGACATTTTAAGTTGTAACACAAAAATGTCTTTTATTCACTTATGTGCCAGCCACCTTGGGACAGTGTCTAGCTCTCTGTGAAGTCCTATGGATTTTTTTTTTAGTTTAATTTTCCTGATAATTTGACTATGAAGGAAGTCGAATGGTTCATCTGAGGTCATTGTAATAGCTCAGCTTGAATGAGAACTCCAGGATGCATGTGGATTCTCATTGTTGGTTGTAATTCTCTAGCTCGCATGGCCTCAGTCACATGAAGCAAAAATTAGGCCTTGCTATTTAAAGAACACACTGAATTAGAATTTTCAGAACTATGCAAACTTGAGGTTAATATTTTCCCTAGGTTATATGATGCAATAAGTGGTCCAAAAGCTGAAGACAGTTTAGCTCAAAATAGAACTGCATGCAACTTTTATTATGAGGCCTTTGACTTTGCCCAGAATGACCCGAGAGTTTGCTAAGATTGGAACCTTTCAAATGAAAATGGGTCATGGTTTGCTTGGAACTTGAGCAATGTGTGGATTTGCAACAAAACAGGGTTAAACTCAGCTGATGTTTTGCTTAGTCCAGAAGAAACAAGGTCATATGCCTTGATGCCAAGGAAAAAACATAAAGAGCTCTAGTTCAAAGATTTCATCAACTGTCGTTATATTTCCTTACTTATATGTAATGCAATATATACGTAATGCAATGTAATTGCTTTATGTAATGCAAAACTGACCTTGTAGAGTAACTGTTTATGAAACCAGGCCCAATGTTGTAAGACACATTCAGGCTTCCTTTCCAGCTGCTGTCAGGTGGGGAAGGTCCTCCCATGTTACTGTTATAAAAAAAACCTCTGTTTTTATTTATTTATTTATTATTTCCGTAAGTATAGTGCCTAGGAACCACAGTCATGGATCAAGCCCTCATTGTGCTAAATGCTGTAAAACCCAGCAATTTCCTCAAAAAGCTTACCAATCTAAACTTTATCAGAAAATGTATCAAATGGGCCTCTAAAACTGAGGGGAACTTGGACTGTATGCACCAAGTGATCTTTTCTTGCACCACTGCCTATGGGCTAGATCTTGGTCTTAGTTACACCATTGTAAATCCAGAATAACTCCAAGCATTTGCATCAGTGCTGGATACACTAAACTGACCCTTCAGCCATACAACTGAAATTTAAATGTAACATTTCAGTGATAAACATGGACTTGTGACAAATGGTAAGAGGTAGTTAATTTAGCTTTAAAACCTGCAAGGGTCTTGGGAAAAAAATAAACACAGACTAGACCAGACTTTATTCTAAATGGCGAACAATTGAAAGCCCTCAGTTAAGTCAATAAAAATCAATGCCTGCTTAGCAGTCTGTTTGAATAGATGCCTTTCCAGCATTCTAGCCATTTTTTTTTTATTATTAATATATTTTGTTGAGTGCTTATAAGAATTAGGGTAATTGTCAGGGTCTATGAATGTCAGAAGGTGACCTCAGTTTTGGTATTCTGGCCCCAAATCTGTGTAACACTCAAGTGCATCCATATTCACAAAGCTATTAAACATATGCATTATGCCCAAGAGCCTATTGGATTGAAAATCTATACAGGTTGGATTTCCCTGGTCTGCCACCCTCGGGACCTGACTGGTCCCAGATGAGGGATTTTTCCGGACCAGGGGAAGTCATTTCAGGCCCCCTGCTGCTCCCTGCCTGCCTCTCTCCCCCAGGACTTGCTGGCTCCTTCCCCAGTCCAGCTGAGCTGCACACCAGCTCCCTCCACCTGGCCCTGCAGCCCAGCTGAGCCACGCTGGTCATCCCACAGCTCCATGACCAGCAGGTCCCACCAGTTGGAACTGGTGTCCAGCCTCCAGAAACACCTCTCCACTGAGGGTTGTGGTTGCAAGGGTATTGCTACTGAACCCAGGGAGAGGATCCCCAGAATGAGCTCGGGGTCGAGCTCAGTCAGGACCAGGAAGGCAGCCGGCACAAAGTGCTGCAGAAACTGCAGCATGGCCGTGTGGGGCCATCACATGCCCAGGGGCAGCTCTGGCTCCATGTCACAAAGGAAAAAGCTGTGGTGTCCACAAAAACTGGGCAACCACAGCAGGCACGGCAAGAGCTTTGCTGTCCCTCGAGGAGGTACGCAAGCACACAGCAGAAGCAGAGAAACGATTGTCCAGAGAGGTCCCTTTAAGTGCGTGTCTCTACAAGGGCTCTGGCACCAGCATTCAGAAGCAAATGGTGACCTAAAGCCCTGCCTGAAGTGGTTCTGAGTGGCCTTTTATGTGAGAGTGCGCCCAAATAGTCTGGATGCTATCTTTTGCAAAAGTACATCGCTTTTTCCATGCACTTTTGTGCGTGGACATGTTCTTGCACAAGAAGTTTTTTTCGGAAGATCTCTTCTGGAAAAGCTTCTTCCGGAAAAGCTTCTTCCGAAAGAAACCTTCAGTCTAGACATGGCCTCAGACACAATTAAAGGTAAATGACTATGTATGCTATATTGCCAACTACCTACTGGCTCATCGAATCATAAAAATAATGTTTTGAAACTTGCATCACTTTTTTATGAAAGAAGCATAAAACTGTGGGAAAATGATTTGCGAATACAGTATTCCTTAGCAGGTTGGCTTGAACTATATCCCTATATGAGGAACGGAGCAGTGAAAGCTAGGGAGAGACTGATTTTTAACTTCATGCAAAGAGGGCCTAATGTAGGTAGATAGCTCCTATTTGCTTCAGGGTAAGATGTGCACATACAGGTAGGGACAGAATTGAGTGCAGGAAGAACGCCTAAAATAAATTCGAAGACCAGTTATAAGCAAATTGTATGTAAACCCGAGACTGGCAGTGGCAATTATGCACATTATATGGAATTGCCATACATTTTGGATTTTTGTAGCTTTTAACATTGTATCTTAGATGGCTTAAATAGATGTAAAATTAAATATATGGGAGTTTCCCTGTCAGAAGCCAGGAAGTGTTATATCCATTGGATGTACAAAGGATGTACAAAGCAGAAAAGCAGCAATAACAACAACAACAAATGTGTGGGATTTTCAAAAGCAGTTATGTAACTTTGGAGCCCATGTCCTATTCCAATCAATGGACACTAAGTCACTTAAGACACTTCTGAATTAAAAAAAAAAGACAAGTAAAAAGAGAAGTTTATGATGCAAATTCAAAATATCTATTTGTTTCTTTAAAAATAGAAACAAATAGCTTCCATTATGATACACCAAATATCAAAGGTTACTGAACACGGGAGACAGGGAAGGAGGAAGGGAACACACAACTTTACAATACTTCCAGGGCTCTAGAATTTGCATGTCAGCCTTGCCCATAATGACCCCAATGTTCTAATTTTTCAAATACTCTTGCCAAGGTATTTGTCAATGTGATCTTGGACCTTTGTGTTCTCAACTCTGAACACTAGCTTATTTTTGGCTCAAAGATTTCTGCAAGAAGGGGGAGGGAGGCGACAGAGAGAAGGGGGGGAAACTGTCGAGCAGGGAAATACAAGAAAAAGACTGAAGAACTTGTACCAGCACACAGTGTCCCCTTCACCACTGCTCACTTGAATGATCTCTGATGCCCAACCCATGTTAGAAGCTATTGTTTTACGATTACTAAGGCTTAGAATTCACAAATTAATTTTCATAAAGCTTGTAAGACAGACAGATACACAGACTTATTATACAGACACTGTAAGCTCTTTCAGGGCATAGATTTTGTTCACCTTTATTTTTCTGATCCTAAATATGCTTACACATGAGTCAGTTTATGTGAGTAGACCCATTGAGTTCAACAGGATTATTTATGTACATAAAGTTACTTGTGTGTGTTTGCAGGACCGAGGCTTGTTAGTACAATACACAGCACTACCAGACTCTAAGCACAATCATAATCAATATTAAATAATAACAAGAACGATAGCAATTCACATCCTACCAAAATCTGAAAGCAAAAGCTGATTGTTAGAGTATGTCTACACTGCAAGCTTATTTCAAAATAGAGCGTCCACACTACAGGGAAGCCTCAAAATTAATCCGAGGCAGGATCCCCTAATGTGGACATGCTATCTCGATTTAGAGCCCCAGGAGGCACTAGGGAGGAATAACTTAGAATGGCCCTGGTGAGGACCTATTTCGATATGGCAGCAGTGAAGCGTCCACACACACCCTCTTCCAAAATAGCTTTTTTGAAAGAGGTTTTATTCCTTGTGGAATGAGGTTTACCAACATCAGAAAAAGCCCTCCATTATTTCGATTTTCTTTTGAAATAATGCGATTGCTGTGTGGACGCTAGTGTTTTTTTCTGGAATAATGGCCATTATTCCGGAATAATGGTGCAGTGTAGACGCACCCTTAGACACATCCCAGGATCTGACCTCAGGGCAAATGAATGAACATCATGGAGAATTTATTTGATTAAACAAGGAATCCAATGGCCACTAGCTCTGACTATGTATTTGCAAACTGAGTACAACTTATCTGATAGTTTCCAGACTGAACCTAACAACAGTTGACTCTTGCCTTACAAAAAAATGTCTACACAGACATTTTACTGAATGACTGAGAAATTCTAGATGAAAACTGGGTCCAAGTTCTAGCAGATTAGCATCATTTCACATTTAGCTGATTTAATACACTGTAGGAGAGTGCCTGCAGCTAGCAACTCAGCTGGGGGACCCACCATTCAAATGTAGGTGACTTGACAGCCCTGCTAATTATTGCACTTTGATTACTTATTCAAATTAAGGTACATTTTATAGCTTCAATTAAACATATATTTATTCTGATTTATTTAAAATGCTCTGGGCACATGTCCAACATATACTTAATCTAATAAAAGGCTTCCTATGGTTTTTTTCCCCTTGAGGTTCCCATATCAGACCACTTTACTAAGCGTGCCAGAGAACAGTATGAATTATTTTCTCTCTTTCTTTCAAATACCTTCATGGATTTCACAAGACACACTAATGAAGCTTCTCCTTGTCCTCCATTTACTTACCGTAAAAACTGTTCAGCATCATTGTAGCCAATGGGATGGACTGGAATTTTTGGAAGACCTACAGCTCTGGCCTCCTCGTATCGATAGGCGTACTCTGGAGGTAGAAGACTGGTGTTTATTTTTATATTACTTTTAAGAGTGGGTGATACATTATGGAGCACAGCTCTACACAGACATCAAGAATAATACTCTGTTGTTCTAAAATGAGGCTAAGATTTCTCCAAGAACACTGTTCTCTACGTGGCAGAAAGACAGTGTCAGAGAGGCCTCAACTCACCCTTTTTCGGTGTCCACATCCCTGCATCTCCGATCAGCTGTGTGTACAAAATTCCACGTTTGGAAACCATTTCTCACTAGCAGGGGCAGATGACCATTTTGCGGGGCCCAGGGCAGCCCAATTTCGCGGGGGCCCCCGCTTGCCACGGTGCATGCGCAGCTTCTTGAAGCGCAAGGCTCGGGGCGGCCGCCCCACTCTTCCTGCCCTATATCCGCCCCTGCTCGATAGGGTTCCTTTGTTGGATGGCAGAGAGAAGGACTACCTTAACATGGGAGTGGGAGGAACCTTTGCTCGGGTAAAGGGCAGATGAAGCTTTCATGCAGATAGGATCACTGGGTCTTGTACAGAGGTGGTGCCTGATCTCCTGCTTTCTCCCCACTATCTTTTCCTGCAGCACTGAAAGGCACAACAGTAGGGCCACGAGGAGAAAGGGCCACAAACAGCTCTCCCGATAAGTGGTGCACCATCTAAGGGCCCAGTGGTTGAAAAGGGAAACAAACTCAGCCTTGTAGAGCTGCAGAGCTCAAGATTCCAATCCCTTTCAGGGGGATTATGCAGCTGGGCTCAGGCCACTCTCAGGCTGTGTCCAGACTCCATGCCTCCGTCGACGGAGGCATGTAGATTAGCCAGCTCGGAAGAGGGAAATGAAGCCGCGATTAAAATAATCGCGGCTTCATTTAAATTTAAATGGCTGCCCCGATCTGCCGATCAGCTGTTTGTCGGCAGATCGGGAGAGTCTGGACGCGATGCCCCGACAAAGAAGCCTTTCTTCATCGACACAGGTAAGCCTGGTTTCACGAGGCTTACCTGTGTCGATGAAGAAAGGCTTCTTTGTCGGGGCATCCTTCTTTGTGAAGCCTTTCTTCATCGACACAGGTAAGCCTCGTGAAACCAGGCTTACCTGTGTCGAGCCGCGATTATTTTAATCGCGGCTTCATTTCCCTCTTCCGAGCTGGCTAATCTACATGCCTCCGTCGACGGAGGCATGGAGTCTGGACACAGCCTCAGTGTGCAGAAATGAAGGGGAAGAGAGAGAAGTTTTAATACGTACACACACATGTACACATATTGTCCTTACAAATCATGTGCACGTTGCCCTGTGACAGCTGGCCCCAGTGAGCTAGGAGTTGAACCAGCACAGAGCGTGTCCCCTACCAGTCCAGTGCTGCAGCTGTTGAGCATACCCTCAGCATTAACCCTTGCAGACTGATCTCTCCATGTGACAATACTTGGAGTTTCAAAAGCACAACACTGCCCACTCTGAATCCTCTGTCACCATCCTGCTTCCTCTTGTGAGTCCCATGCAGCTGCACTCTGTGAAGGAGGAGCCCAAAGCTGCTTCCTCCATACAATGGCAAGACCAGGTGAGTTTAGACCTCTTTGGGACCAGCTGGATCTCATCAAAGCTTGCTCTATGACAATGGCTTCTTCTCAATGTCACTTACCTGTTGCTGGGTAACCTGGTGTGAGAGGATCCCCAGCCCCATTCAGATTTAACACATTCCCGCGCTGGGCTCCACCTCCAGGAAGGTTCCAGCCTTTTGGAAAGGGATCTACCCCAGTGGCACAGTAGTCAGCAGGGTCTGAATACAGAATAACTCCCTTGGCACCAGCCAACTCAGCATTCTTCACCTAAAAAGCAAATCCCTTTTCCTTATTCATTGCTTGACAGCCTGAACTCTCAAGGCCATCATCCCAAAGCAAGGGGAGGGTACCAAGCACATCACAGAATAGATTCTTTGACTCTTTGCACTGAAGGAATGGTTAAAGCAGTATTCCCTTTTAGTCTCCTCAATGGTAGGCTGACAATGGTGACAAGTCCTAGCACCAGAATCTTGTTTATTACCATTCTGGCACTGCAAAGGGCTATAAATTACATGGACACCCACTTTAAGGCTCTTTGACACCACCCAAATGGTTTAAAGGGATTTTGGTGAAAATAAGAAACTGGCTCATAATTATTCTTGTCACATGCAATTTTCTGGCACTAGCAGATTTGGTATCCTACTGAGAAACCTGATATAACATGTGAATAAAGGACTTAGCACTACTTAGAATCCGAGGCAGGATATATATGCAAGAACATGGAAGAGCCATTTACAGAGTACAGGCTGAAACTCTCTTAACCAGAATTCTCTGGTCTGGCAACATCCATGGTCTGGCATGCATGGGAGTTGACAATGGGGCCGGCCAGTGCATGGCAGTGGGACTGCCCAGTGGGGCTGGGAGCACTGGGGCAGGGCTGTCCAGGAAACCCCAGCGTCTGACATGTGGGGCTGCTCATGGAGCCCCGGCATGGCGTGCACAGCTGATCAGGAAGCCTCAGTGCCTAGCACACAGTTCTGCCCAGGGAGCCCCAGCACGCATGCAGCTGCCTGGAAGAGCCACAGCAGTGATGGCTGCCCAGCAGGTCAGCGGGATCAGCAGCATGTGGGGAGCTGTCTGGGAGGCCAGCGGGGCCGGTGACAGGAGTACAAAAATGACCTCCCCGGGTTTGGCAAAATCCCTCATCCAGGACAGGGTGCTGAACCAGGGCGGTCTAACCTGTACTACTGTGCCAAGTGTAATTCTAGTTTGTGTCTGTCACTCAGACAAAAGTAAGCAGCTGATTACTGAAATATTCAGTGTACACTCTAAAAATCTTACAAGTGTTAACACCACTTGAAAGGTTAGTTGCTAAGTGAGAGATTTACACTGAAGATCCAGCAGGTTTCAGAACTGGAAATCTCATGAGATGGAAGAATGCGTTACTCCGGGATGTGAATCTTCCATTTGTTTGAACATATACATAAAGCCAAAGAGCAACAGTTTATCTTTAAGCTGACAGGGCAGCAGAAAAGCTCTGAGCTGTTTTGACAAAGAGAAAGTTTTTCATAACTCTGTTTCTGGCAAACAAAATCAGTGTTTAACTCTGGCCCCATGGATAGTGCTTTGAAATACTATAGCTCTCATTCTGGCTTCCTAATCTTCTTCTCCTTTTTTTTTTTTTTTCAGGTAAAACAGAACAGTATAGTAAGAGAGAGGCAAATAATCTTCAGTTCAGGTTGTAATGTCCAGATAAACATAGTCAAAATTTACTACAGCGATTCCTAGGGCATACAATATTTGCCTTCATCCTATATCCTATGCAATTGTATAAGGAAATTTAATATAATCCACCAGACCAATTCACTGGGCCAGATATTTCTGGTCTAATTTGTCAGTAGGAATGCAACACTTCCAATAAAAACATGAATAAATGTGTGTGGTGTTCCTTTTAGTGAAAATTACTCCATGTTACTGCCAAGTCTTAGGAATGCAGCATGCTACAGGGGAATGCTACAAAACATGGGAATTCTCTCTCTCATTTTCCTGAGCCTTTCCTATCCAGATGGATTCTTGGTCATTTGGGGTACATCTGCACAGCAGCGTTATTTCAGTGTAACTGATGTTATTCCAAAATAACATCGTGCGTGTCTACACTATAAGCGTTTATTTCAAAATTATGTTGAGCTGGAGGATTTCTTACTCCAACTCATGGTAACCCTCATTTCACAAGGAGTAAGGGAAGTCGAAGGAAGAGTGTTTTTCCTTCGACTTCCTGCTGTGTAGATAGCACCAAAAGTCGAGTGAAGCTATTTTGACTTAAGCTCCACCATTGACGTAGCTGAAGTTGCATAGCTTAATTTGACGTTAGTCCTGCTGTGTAGACGTACCCTTGGTGATCTAGAAACAATTCAGCAAGATAGATTAATATGCATATTATTTCTCATTTATGAAAATGATACATATGAGTTAGTTGTCCCTCCAGAAAATATTCCTCAAAAGAATATCACAAATCTAAGTATCCCTAATAAAAGATTCAGCATTTGGATCGCCAAGTTAATGGTAAACTGTAAAATTAAATGTAAGGTCTAATCTTATTCAAATTGAAGTCAATTGGATTTTTAAGAGAAATATGACTACGGACATATTCATGTTTTCTATGGACTATGACCATGATTGAGGAAAGAAAGCACTCAAGCATGTTCTTAAAATTAAGTATATGTTTATGAACTTTCCTGAATCTGGACTTAAACTACTTGAGGAAATTCATAGGCTTTTAACTAAAAAACCCTCTGTTGGGTTACTCCCTAACCAATTTAAAGAAATCTTTAAACAGCAACATAGTAGATGTAATTTAAACAGCAGCCGACTCTGCAGAAAATGAGTAATTTTAAACAAATTGATTTAATTATTTACACTGTCATAGATGTGCTAGGATTTCTCCTAGTCATGAAATATCTTTGAGCATAGTTTGATAAACAACTCAATTATGCTAAGATTGCCAAAAGATTCTAAATAAGGCCATCAATTATAGAAAAGGCATATCTTAACCACAAACTGAGACTATATCTCAGTTGTAGAGTAGACACATTACCTTATTTCCTCTGAAGATTTTCCCGTATCTGGCAATGACAATTTTTCCAGTGCAGTTAATTCCCATCTCTCTCTTCAGTTTGAAAAAATCTTCAGTGCGGCCATAGTTGACATACACCAACTCACCCTAGAAGACGAAAGGTCCAGTGAGAACAGGGATATCAACGAGCCTAAGGAATGAGATGTACTCTAATGAGCGGTCAACCTGGGAGCACGAAACTCAAGTTATAAACCTGGGAATGATATGGATTGCCTCAGTGGTCACAGTCAAGTGACAGATGCCTTTAACCTGAAAAGTTTTGAGTACCCTCAATTCCCATTCAAGGTAATAATAGTAGAGAGGTAGCCGTGTTAGTCTGATCTTGCTAAAACAAAAGGAAAAACTACATAGCACTTTAAAGACTAACAAGAATATGATCAGAGGAAGTGGGTCTGGCCCACAAAAGCTCATCACCTATTAAACCATCTTCTTAGTCTTTAAAGTGCTACATAGTTTTTCCTTTCATTCAAGGTAATGGGAGATAAAAGTGCTCAGACAGCTTGCAGACTCAGGCTCTTTATCTTCCTAGTCCTGTGCCCAGTTAAGCCAATAGCAAAGCTTCCAAAGACCATGCCTGAAACCCACCAGTCTCCCCATCTGTAAAGCAGGGACAGTAATTAGCTACTTCACTGGGGTGCTAGGAGTCTTAATACATGAAGAACAAAAGCACAGCATAAGCATTTCTAGGTATGATTTTTTACTAAAGTAATGCCTTTGGCTTTGCTCCAGTAATTAGAGTATCTCTCATAAAGACTTCAGAAGAGATTAGTTCTGTGGGTGGATTGATAAAATGCTTGAAATCTTTTCCCCAAAGCTATTGGAACATCGCAGCAATTCCTCCTTTTCAATGAAATCTAGAAGAACATGGATTTGCTACGGATCTATTAGTAGTAGATTCATATTACTTTTACACTCACAGAAAATGAGGAGTCGATGCAAGACTCTGATAACTTTGAGGCCATATGTAAGTGGGCTTGTGGCAAAATGGACACAGTATATTTATTCTGAAGCAAAATGCAGGACTATGTAGCACTTTAAAGACTAACAAGATGGTTTATTAGATGATGAGCTTTCGTGGGCAATTTTTTTAATTGTATCCTTTGGTATATATGGCTGTGACTATTTTCTTCCACTATTTGATCTGAGGAAGTGGGTCTGGCCCACGAAAGCTCATCATCTAATAAACCATGGGGAAAGGTAGATGTCTGTGAGCTAATGGTATTAGAGGTGATAATTGGGGAAGCTATCTTTGTAATGGGTAAGGTAGTTGGTGTCTTTGTTCAATCCCCCCCGGAGAGTGTCGAATTTTAGCATGAATGACAGTTCAGAGGATTCCCTTTCAAGTGCAGATGTAAAAGGTCTTTGTAGCAGAATGCAGGTATATTTATTCTGGGGAGCCTGGAAATCTTTATGTTGTTATTTTGGCTTGGTCTGCCCTGAAAAGTTGTGTAGGCATAGCTGCATAGGTCAGGGGTGTGAAAATCTAACCCCTCTAACTCAGGGGTGCTCAACCTTTTTCTCCCTTAGTCCTCTCTGTCCCACCACGCTATACAAACTCCAGTGCCACAACTACTTTTCTGTATGTAAAAGCCAGGGCCAGTGTTAGGAGATAGCAAGCAGTGCAGCTGCTTGGGACCCATGCCACAGGGGGCTCCTGTGAAGCTAAATTGCTCAGAGTTCAGATTCAGTCCCAGATGACAGACTTTTTGGCCCTAGGCTCCAGCCCCATGTGGTGGGGCTTTGGCTTTCTGTCCTGGGCCGTAGCAAGTATAATGCTAGCCCTGCTTGGCAGACCCCCTGAAAGCAGGTAGCACCCCTCCCCGCCGGGGACCCTGGACTCGTGGTTGAGAACCTCTGCTCTGACATAGCTATACCGACAGAAGCAGCTCTGTTGGTGAATGAGTGCACCTGTCAATGTAGTCAATGTAGTTCAGGGAGGCGATGTTCCTACACCAACAGCAACGCTGCTTCTGTTGGCAAAGGCTGAACTGATGCTAGGAGGCTGTGCTGGTACAGACTCCAAATGGACTGAGTCAAGTTGAGTTTCTTTGTATATAATTTGAGAGACTGAATTGCACGTTAGTTTATTATTATTATGCTCCTAAGCACCCCAGGATACTAGATGCTCTACACATACTTGAGCAGTCACGTCTGCTCCAAACTGCTTACAATCTAATGAGGCACAAAGGTAGGTGCGACAAACAGCAGGCGGGAGGGACTAGGGACGACACAGCTAACTATTCTATATTATTTCTGTAATTTGAGCTGTGTGACAGGCACGTTTCAGACACTGGGTTAGATCCTTGGCAGCTCTACATAGGCATAACTCCAATGACGTCTACTGAAGTCAGGTCTGCACTAGACCTGAAAGGTTGGGATAAGGTACGCAACTCCAGCTATGTAAAATACGTAGTTGGAGTTGGCTGACCTTAAGCTGAGCTTGGTGTCATCATCACAGAGGGAGGCCAATGGGAGCATTAGCTCCCATTGGCTTCCCTTACTCCTCAAGACTCCGAGGAGTACAGTGCCAACCAGAGCCACCCTCAACATTAGATTTAGTGGGTTTAACTAAATGCCTGAAGATCAATACTGGGCACAGCAAGTAGAGACTGAGCTATGGCCTGAGCTATGACTCACCTGCTAAGTATCTGGTCCTGGTTACTGCCTGAAACTCATAGCCCAGATAGATATCACACAAATATGGAAATAAAGGAAGGAAGATGCCACGATGATGGAACATTGAGGCCAGTCCCTACTTTCTCCTTCTGGTGCTTACCACCCAGGATCTACCAATAGGGAACAGACTGCCAGAGGATGTTGTAAAAAACAGAACTTATACAGCAGTGGTCACCAACCTTCTGGGGCTGCCAGGAGCTGGGCCACTCACACGCCGGGCACCCGGGGGCAGGGCCACACATGCGCCCGGGGGAAGGGCTGCGCATGCTCCTGGGGGCAGGACCACCCATACGCTGCGTGCCCGGAGCTGGCGCCACCCATGCACTGTACTCCCTGGGCTGGCGCCACAACTGTGCTGCATGCCTAGGGGTGGGGCTGCCCATACGCCGCACGCCCGGGGCCGGAACAGCCCATCTTCCGTGCTCCCGGGGCAGGGCCGCCACTGCCCATACGCTGCATGCCCAGAGCCGGCGCCTGTGTCACACGCCCAGGAGCCGGCAGCGCCCATGCGCCCCGCTTGTCCGGTGGCGGTGCTGCCCATCAGCTGCAAGCCCGGAGCCGTCACAGCTCTTGCACCGCTCACCCAGGGGCGGGGCCGCTCATGTGCTGTGCGCCCAGGGCCGGCACAGACCTCGTGCTGCGCACCCGGAGGTGGGGCCAGCTAACCGCTGTACGCCCATGGCCGGCATTGACCATGTGCTGTGCACCCGGGCCCAGCGCCGCTCATGCGCCCAGGGGCCGGCACTGCCCATGTACCACGTGCCCGGGGCCTGCCCCGATCACTCCGCGAGCGCATAGAAATGGCCCAGTGGGCGCCCTCGCGCCCACAGGCACCACGTTGGGGACCACTGTTATACACGGTTCAAAAAAGAACTAAATAAATTCATGGAGGATAGGCCCATCAATACTTCTTAGCCAGGATGGGTAGGAAGGGTGACCAATCTCAACTTTTTTGGGGGGGAAGTGGCATCTGACTCCTTTGCTCTTGTAATTAGAACTGAGTGAATAATTGTTCTGGGGGAAAAACCTGGTTTTATTTAAACCAAAATAATTTTTTTGAAAATGTTCATGGAATTGAAAAAATTTGAAATAAAAAAAATTAAATGTTTTGAAACATTAAAAATATTTTTAGAATATTTTCCCAGAAACTAATTGTTGAATGCAACCCAAATTAAGAATTCCAAAGACTATAAAATGAATTTTCAGCAGTTTCTAGTCCCTCCAAAAATTTCACCCAGATTTATTGACCACAAACACGACTCAAAATCTAATGCAGCCAAAGACAGTTGTGTTTAAAAATGTAAATGGTCATGGCACTAGTTGATTCTTAAAAACTTAACATTTAAAAACACTAGAACAGATAAAAGCAATAATCTTACCCCTTCCTTACACCCATTGTATATACTTAAGTATTTTCTTTCTTTTTTTATTTTCTTGTATTCTACAGTACTTCCTCTCTTCAGATCTCCTTAGGTCTAGGCTACATTACTGCAGCTGTCAATCTAAGTTATACAACTTCAGCTTCATGAATAATGCACTGCACTTCACTGCAGTAAATCAATATGCGATGCTCTCCCATCGATTCCTCCTATATTTCTCATTCTACTAAAGTATCGGACTCAATGGGAGAACACTAAGTGGTCAATCTGGCAGGTAGTGAAGACATATCCTTAAATGTGCAATGCTGTTACTTAGAGCAAGTCTACACTACACATTTAGGTTGACTTAAATTACATTAACAGATTTGATTACACATCCACACTATTCTCCTTGTGACAGTGGTGTACTTCCTCATCAAGAGTGCTTGCACCAATTTAACTCCGGTGTGGAGCATTGTGGGACAGTTTCTGAAAACTGATAAAAATGATGCAATTTCTACATTGACACTGCATCGACCTAACTATATCAACTTAAGTGCTACATCTCCTGCAGAGATGGAATTATTAAGTTCGTATAGTGGGCAAGTTGCATGGATGGAGTGACATTTTAGTGTAGATACCTACACAGTTAACTTGACAAAAGCAGCATACATCAACCTAATTTTGTAGGATAAAGCAGGCCTCAGAGAAGGCCTTTTCTAAGGGTACATCTACACAGCAGGGCTTAACTCGAAAGAAGATATGCAAATTGGGCTACGTCAATTGTGTAGATTATTTTGAAATATCTCATTTTGAAATTGGGAGCATCTTCACAGCACTTATTTCGAAATAGAGCACTCTTCCTTCAACTTCCTTCTCGTACAATGAGGGTTACAGGAGTCAGAGTAAAGAAGTCATCCACCTTGACAGTATTTCACCATTATTTCAAAAGAACTGCCTGCTGTGTAGGCAGAGATTAAGTTATTTCAAAATAATGCTAGTTATTTCAAAATACTGTTGCTGTATAGACGTCCCCTAAGAGGTGGTTCTTGC